ATCTCTCTCAGGCAGGGGCTGAAGGCCACGAGGGAGAGTGAAGACGAGCAGGAGGGCATATCAAACAGTGCTGTGGTTATGGTTGGGGAAATGATTGCTCACATCTCCTCTGGGAGAGCTGGATTGTTCTATTTGTTAGGGGGTGTGAAGCGTAACGCTGGGTGTTGAGTTCTGTCGGTGGCTCCCAACATCAACCTTTGCGCCACAGTACAACTCAAAGTCTGCAGCAGGATCTCCGAATAGCTGATGGAACACGGTGAATGTTAATTATCAGCGGGAAACATGAGGAGGCAGTGGAAGCACAGCAGGGAGATGTTCGAGTACTGCTATCTGGGCGTCAGTGTTTATATATATGGAGCAAGAGTGTCGTGCACGCTGCCCTTCAATGCAACAACTGTTTTGCAGTGACACTAAAAACAGAAATAGATCAAAGTTTATCTTCTGCTCCGACCCCGTACAAGTGGATACAATATACTGGTTAAATTCTAATTACGCCCTTTGACCTTTCAACCTCAAAAACCTTGTTGCCTTATTTGTGCTCTCTATATATATATATATATATATATACATATATATCACTATATGTCTGTGTGTGGTCTAAGCAACACAGCACGTGCTCAGACGAAGAGTCAAGAGGCTTAATAGATTACAGAGTTGTATTGTCTTTACACAAAATGTAACATTTATGTTTGACCAGCAGACCTTAAAGAGAGGAACGAAGGGACTGTAAAGGTGACCTGGTGGTTCGCATTACACAGACCTGCACTGTGAACAAGTACAGGCAAGTGGTGAGGAGGGAAACACACACACACACACACACACACACACACACACACACACACACACACACACACACACACACACACACACACACACACTCACACACACACACACACACACACACACACACACACACACACACACACACACACACACACCACCCACAAGTATTTCTTTGATCCAGATACATTTTGGCTTTGGTTGAAAGATAGCCCGCACATTTAAATTATGATAATAAACAGGCATGTATTGTTCAAAGTAAGTTAATGAAATGTACTGTTATGTTAGTAAAACTAAAATAACACAATTTCCAAACCTAGCATTAGACAAAAGCACATCACAGGTTTTAAAGGATAAATAGTTTTACTGTTAGAGCCTTGAAAGCAGGAAGCAGACAAGATATTTATAAAGAATTAAGTTGTATACCTTGCTGAACATTGTACCACAATTATTTTTAGACATAGGCCATTCTTTATAAAAAAAAACACAAAAAAACAAAGTGACTGAAAGGATGAGACTCTAACACATAAATAATTATGTTTCATAGTCATGTAACCTATTGTGGTGTTAGCGGTCAGTGAAAGTTAAACACAGCACTGGCGGTTGGAACAGTGTGTGGTAGAATTCACTTTTAGTAAGAAGAGAAAGGTAAGCACTGTCTAAAAGTGGTGAAACATGACTATGTTTAGTAAGTTACTATAGTGCAGTGGTTCTCAAACTTTTTCTGTCAGGCCCCCCCTTTGGAGAAAAAAAAAAGTCGGGCCCCCCCAACACATGTCAGGCTCAGTGGCGGCGCCAGAGATTTATTTTGGGGGTGCTGTGGGGTAGCTTGACGTTTCATAGATGGTGCTCAAACATTTAGGGTTTCCCATTAATGTACCGGTCGCTACAGTGGAATTTTCTACTGCAACAATCCCCACGCATATACACAATGTACCCGCGACTGTTACAATGAAGGCTCGATAATCAGCTCACGGCATATAGGTGTAAGCAGGGGTAAAGTGCTATTTTTATAGGTGGTGTGTGGACCTCACATAGGGGGGTCCGGGGGCAAGCTCCCCCGGGAAGATTTATTTTTAAATATTGAAGTTAAATGGCGCGCCCCCCACATTGGGAACCACTGCTATAGTGCATGATAGAATAATACTGTATGTTTCCACCTGTTATTTCTGTATCACTTAAAGTTGTAATCATTAAACTGATAATTCAATGGTGTAAAATAAATCATCGGTAACAGAAATGACCGATTCATGTTCAAAATCATTAATTAAGCTTGGCCATGTGACAATTTGCTCTTAATTTCTTATTTATATCATATTGTCTACCTTTTTTTAAGATGATCTGGCCTTTTAACATTTTATATATCGAACTATTAATTAAAAAAAGAATCACGAGAGGATTGACTGATGAAATGGTCATTAGTCGTTGCCCTATTTGGCTCAATAGCTTAAAAATCACACACTGACCTACATTTTGAAAACACAGCCAACAAAAACACATTCACACCTCCCTTGTGTTTGTGCAGGCATGATTTGTTTTTGTCTCTGTCTGTGTGTGTGTGTGTGTGTGTGTGTGTGTGTGTGTGTGTGTGTGTGTGTGTGTGTGTGTGTGTGTGTGTGTGTGTGTGTGTGTGTGTGTGTGTGTGTGTGTGTGTGTGTGTGTGTGTGTGTGTGTGTGTGTGTGTGTGAGGCCCCTCTCCACTCTCCCTTTATGGTGAGGAGATTAGGTAGTTAATCCAGTAGATCTCAGAGAAAAAGCCACTCCTGATGCCACAATGGATTTCACTCAGTCCGCCAGAGAGACGGCAGACTTGCTGCCGATACGCATTGCGACCTTTGACGTTAACAGGGCACACGCACACGCACACGCACACGCACATGCACACGCACGTGCACGCACACACACACACACACACACACACACACACACAGACACACACACACACACACACACACACACACACACACACACACACACACACACACACACACACACACTTTACCAAGGACAGGATATTATATTACATATGTATTAGGTGCATGCTATTAATAACTCCACAACCACAGTGAACTAATATTATTAAACTGTCACGTCATTCACGAACTCCCTATGATAATGCTGACTTTATACTGTATGTTAAACTTACAACATATATAGTTAAGCAAGTGTTACACACACCCAAGTCACACAGGCTGTTTAAAAAAGGCCATTAATATACTGTTAAGCTATATGTGACACTCTTCATTCTCCATGACAGCACATGCACTCGTGGATACTGATTAGCTAATGTATTGATTAAGTCCTTACTGAAGGAGTCTGAGGGATGAACAGCATGTTCCCTTGTCTTATCCTCTAAGTCACTGATCACTTTGAATAGACCTAGTGTCACCATGTATGACAGAAAATATAAATGCAAATAGTTGCGTTTGAAGCACTTCCGTGAACCAGAGATCAAACTTTGAATTCAGCTCTATGCTGCCATTCTGCAGCTGATCCTGACCTTTGACCTTATACATGTCAGACAAAAGGGTGTTTCCTTTGACAGTCAATCATTTGTGTTCTTGTGGTAGACTTTCTTAACACGGAAACACTCATACATTGATTATTGTGTTCGGATCAGGTGTAGCTTTTAAACATTAACAGCAGGATGTCATGAATTTCTTATATTCTCAGAAAGATCTCATTGATTATCCACAGCCCATTTTGTCTCGGCTTGTCTATTAAGAAGAACAAAACTCAGGAGGTGTGTGTAATCCTTCCTCCACCTAGGCTGTGCTCTCTCCCACTCAAGCTCCCACTTCTCACAGCACTCTCTTCCCTGTTCAACCCATAGTTATTGTTCAACCCTCCAATCTGTGGATTGTCGCCATGTTCTTAAAGAGGCTGCATCAAGCAGCACGTTGAGAAACATAATCCCCGGATATTCAGTGATTCTGACTTCAAAATAAAACACATACTCAAAATGAACCTAACTACTTGTTTTTTTGACAGTACCTAAATAATATTATATAATACTAACAATAAATCTTATTTTTTCCCCAAAACATCAAAATTGACCAACTACAATTACCGTTTACTTCAAAATAAAGGTTCTCAAATTCTACATTGTTGTGTTTTTAATTTATAATTTTAGAAATTTTACAAAATGTATGATTTTTCAACTTCTGTTTTATCAATGCTATTAATTTAACGAAAAAACAAACACACATTACTTGATACAGTTAAAAGTAGGTCCAACATGATTAATTAATGATAATGATCGATTACAAGAAAAGCTGAATGTCTCAATAATAGCTTATTTTACTTCATTGATGTTAAGTTAAATGATTACAATCCCACTTGGCTTTACCCCTCTGCAGTAGGCCTATGCACACATAATGTTAAGTCGTTCTTATATAAAGAAGTTTAAGTTATATTTTTGTCCTCCCTTTTTTGTTACATAGCTTTGGTGTAAGACCATCAAGGACACAGAAATCGACAGTCTTAATATTTCATCATTAACCAATGTCAGCAGAATATTTGATATGATTTATATAAATGATACACAATAAGAGGAATATGAATATTAACATAAACATTGATTTATATAAATTGTATCCTATATATTTATATGCGTTTGAGTGGGTGTGCTTGTGCATATGCCTGAGCGTGCTGATGAATGGTTAACAGTGTATGCAGACAGCAAAACACAATACAGTTATCATATGTAGGAAATCATTCACTAATTCAATAAGAAAAAAATTATCCAATTAAGTATTATTTATGCTTAATTATATTTAATTTACAAAAACTCTGCACTTTACTGCTTTCAGCACTTCTTCAAATACAATATTATACATACTGTCTTATATTGTGCCCAGTGATGTAAAGTAACTAAGTGCATTTACTGTACTCTAGTACAATTTTGAGGTACTTGTACTTTACATGAGTATCTCCTTAGTACTTTACCCCGTCATTGCCGTCAATATTGTACTTCTATTTACCTACATGTATTTAATACCGGAAGTTACTTTTGTACTTTTTCTTGAGTAACATTTTGATTTCAGGACTTGTACTTGTAACAGGGTATTCATACACTCTGGGTACAATATCTGAGTATGTCCTCCCCCACTGATAATACCACACACCAAAACGTATGCGCATACTGCGTGCAAGAAAGGTGGTTTTATTCTGAAATGCATAACCGGAAGTCCAATTTCGGCTTCGGTCACTAGCTTGCCGTTAGTGTTCAGGATGACAGCTGAACGGGTCGTAAAGGTAGAGCAACGCAGTCTCTACCATTAACAACAATCATCACAAACTCGAGTTTAACAGAGAGGACAGACACATTTCACGGTGTGACACATTTTTATACCACCGGCGGAACTGTTTGAGTGTACCGGAGGACGGTAATTGTTAACCTTGCGGATATTTGTAGTTCTTTTTCAGGAAGAGAGAGAAAGATCCGTGTCCGGATGTGCCAGCAGTATTGGGTTTTTCGCATGGCGTAGGCACCTTTTCTAAAGCAGGACATTCTTCATGTTTGGAGGGTCGCAGGAGGCCCTCGGGTCGAGAGTTTATCCCGCTTTTAACATTAACTACACCTCTGAAATAACCAACTTGTGAGGAAATGATCAACGAGATGATTGTGCAATAAGAGAAAGAAGCGTCGTAACACGTCTTGCCTCAGTGTTGTCACTGTGGAGAGAGCAATTCACCGGAATACATTGTTTTTTTGTTTCCTGGTCGAAACCCCAACAACAAACGTTTCTTTGAGCTCTAACAAGGGAGAGAAAAAAGAGAGGGGATATTGTGTGTGAAGCCCTCCAAGGACCGGGAAAACCTTCACGATGACGAGCAGCACCCCAGCGGACATGGTGAGAGAATTGACTTTCACACTTTACCATTTACATCCATTTACTTTCCTGAGGGTTATGACAAAGAATGTTGAGACTGTGGCAGTTTTCAATGCTGCTACTTCTGGTTTCATTAATTTGCCTTCAAAACTTATTTGTAAAGGCCCATAATGGCATTTGGAATATGTATCCTATTGGTTATAAAAGTTGGGCTTGTGTATCTCCAGTGCAAATTGGAAAGAAAACAGTGGCAGTTTAACTGTTCTTATCAGCAATTGCAAGATATAAATACTTAACTATATTCACTTTGCCTTTAATCTTTTTTGATCCTTTTTAAAATGCATGCATCATTTTAGATTCAGTTCCAGGCAGCCATAGACTCCCATTAAATTATCCGTACTACAAAACACTACAAGCACACTTCCAACTCTTCTTCATGTTCTCTATTCTATTTCTGTGAACAATACGTTAGTATAATTGTCTGTTTGGTTGTTGTCTGATAGATGTAAACATTTTCACTAAATTGCCTCAGGATGATAAAGGAAGTATGAAAAACATGAATGCACACTTGATGTTCATTATAGATCAAACTGCAAAATAATATATCGCTCAAACTGGTTTTCATAATGCTTAGAAACGAATGGAAGACAAAGAAAGTAAACCAAATCCACATTTCTAAAACCAACCAAAGTGGCTTGCAGTATAATTTGGTGTTATTCTGATTACAAATATTGTCCGTCAAGCGACAAGACCAACAGGAACAGCTACATATTATTTTTATTTTGGTTAGATTTCTTTGTTTTGTTATTATGCTACAATTCCCTGTTTGGACACACTGGCACCAAATTCCTCTCAGAAAATCCACCAAGCTCTCATCAAATGAAGGCTCTACTCCTTTCCCTGATTTCTACTTCTCTGTATTTGATGTTTGACATTTTGTGAACCTTTAGCATCACATATAGCCGGTCAGGAAATGAGTTGAGGAGAAGGTTAGGAGCTCTGCTGCTGGTCTGGAGTGCATGGTGACCGGTAATTGCATTGCTGCAACAACCCCATTATGTCACACCTGCTGATGTAGTGGTGCTTTCAAAGGAGGCTCAACTATAACCTTTAAGTCTGCGGTCATCATCGGGTGACTTTCAGCTTAACCTCACCCTCTGAAGACGCTATCCTCTTATGACTTCTATTGCACCAGCTTACTGACTGTGGTGTGTCTTATGAGCTCTCATCATAAAGATTGATGTCTACATCTCGTGGGTGAGCTATTCCACTAATTAAAAGGCGTATAAAATGCGTTTTGTTGTGTTCAGCCAGTCTCACAATATATCTCCACTCTGTCTGGCATGTTTATGTCTATCATCGTTACTGCTACTGCATAGTGTCTCTAAGAATAATTCCAGGTCTATGTATAGAAAGGATAAACCACGTAATGTGCCCCTCCGCGCTGACATCAGCTAACCCAGCTATGCCTCTACTCCTGTGTCCAAGTTTGCTGATCCCTTAAACAGCAGGTCCATTATGTTGTTGGGGTAATACTCTAGAGGTGAGTCGGCCTCTATTGATATGTCGGGTCAAAGCTAAAGCATCTAAGTATAGCACATTTCAAGGAATTTCCATGGATTATAGACATAATCATGAGTCTAATCGTTCACTTTTTACCCTTTTGTGACGGATAACTAAATCTTTATGCTGTTCATAGAAGGTCTTGTGTTATGTCAACATCTGTGTGGATATTTGAGGCTTTGTATGAACTTTGGTCACAGCTTTATGGCTCAGTTTACAGTCCTAATTGTGTTTTTCTTGTGTATTATAATATTATTATTCAGCCGTAGGAACTTTGGTTTAAGCCTCCAGCCGGCCTTCTGAAGTATCTTTAGGCAACACACTGAATCCCTGCCAGCTGCTTTATAGCCTGATTTGTGCTGTAAGAATTTCCCTTTAGGGGGGAAGTATCACATTATTATCGCATCATTTATCGCCAGTGTCGGGAATAAAGTTCAACAGTAAAGTAATAATACTTTTCCAAACACTCAAGCGTAGTTTCAATGGGTTTTATTCCTGCCAGAGCTGCCGTCCTCAGGCTCATGTTATTAACATGCCTGCTGCAGGAACATACAGTAAAGGTCAAACTCTGCTCATGAGTAAGACATTTCAGTGTTCCTGCCAGTAAAGCCCTTCAGAGAAATGGCTTCCTTTTGTGGCTAGGCTCAGTCTATACATCAAACTAGCTTCTTGTGTTCCCCATGGAAAAGTGGGGAAATATCAGCTCTCTGCAATTAACTCATCCTGTGTGGTTGAAATCAGCAGCAGAAGCACCGTACGTCTCCCCCACAACTCTCTCTCAGTCCAGGGAAAGAGCAAGTGTATTCACACACACACTCTCTCTCTCTCTCTCTCTCTCTGCTCTCTCTGTCGATCTCTCTCTCTCTCTCTCTCTCTCTCTCTATCTCTCTCTCTCCTCTTCTCTCTCTTCTCTCTCTCTCTCTCTCTCTCTCTCTCTCTCTCTCTCTCTCTCTCTCTCTCTCTCTAATAAATGCTGCATGGAGTGGGAGGAGAGGAGATTGTCGGTGAATGAATCTGAGAGAAAGAATAGTCGTGCCTCCTGCGAATGGAGGATGGGCAAATTGCCTTGCTCCAGGCAAACCTCAAAAGTGCTGACAGGGCTAAAATGGTCCCCATGGCAACAGTGAGACGCTTGGATGTGAGGCCTGAGGCAGTGTTTGAGTATGTGGAGGGGCCAGGGTGCACTGTAGGTATGTGTGTGTGTGTGTTTGTTTGTAACAATAAGCATAAGAGAGAGAGTAGTACAGAAGCAGGAGAAGAATAAAGCACGCCAGTTCAGATAAGAGCCGCTGAATAAATACACTCCAGAAAAAGACTGAAAGCCCCATGGAGCGGAGAGTGAATTTCAAACATCAACGATTTCGATATGTCCCAGCACAGCAGACAACACAGGGAGATCAAGGCACACACACACACACACACACACACACACACACACACACACACACACACACACACACACACACACACACACACACACACACACACACACACGGAGAGAGGGAAGAACATGGCGGCTCCACTTTATCATTCAGGTTTTCAGTTGTACCAAATGGTTTTATTAATGTTAATAAATACTGTATTAATGCTTAAGGGCTTAAAAACAAGAACTTTTGGGTTGGTCTCATGAATTTAGAATAGTTTCTTACTGATCTCATTGACAGCTGTTTCTCTTGCTTGGGAATACGCTGAAACTGTGTTTCAAAGTTAAAATGCAATCTGACATCCATTTGACTTAATATTTCACAACATACATTTTGATGTTCAAAAAACCAAGCAATTTTCTTTATGTATTTCTTGTTTCAATCTCCAAAACTAAGAACATGTCAAGGGCACACTGTCTGTTTTTAAAATGGATGCATACATCATTAGTTAATCATTACTTGACCTTTAATAAAACATAACTGTATCTTTTCTTCCTGGTTGGACGGCCATACTAAAGGCCTACAGGCACACATGATGCTGATAAGATATGGAGAGATAAACACTCTCACCTCACTCAGTGGGTAGTATTCAACACCCTGTCATTACTACGATGGTATGTGTTGGATCCTGTTGGAGCTGGCATCGCAGCTCACACACTCGCCCAGACCAGGAGGCACGATGGAACAGTGGTTCTCAACCAGGAGGGACCTTTTTCAGAAAGGCATAATGTGTGTCAAAATAAAAATAAATTGTACTATCATTGCCAAAATTATTCAGAATATTTCTAAATAAATAATATTAGTTTATCATCTGATAATTTTCACAATAATAATTGAGTCTATCAAATGTTGGAAAAAAAGTATTACTCAATCCCAAAGTATTACTAAATACTAAATATTCAGTTCAACAATCTTTGAAGACACACCAGCATTGCTTCATATTTGAGGAGCTATAACCAGCTGTCAGTTTGTGTCTAAAAGCTACCTCTGCTACTCTGTGTGTGGCTAATTATCATTTTGGTGCTTTTTAAGCAGTTTATAGTTCATTCCCACATTGTTAGAGTCCTTTGGGGAGACAGAAGCACAGACACACACCCACAATCACACACACACACACACACACACACACACACACACACACACACACACACACACACAAAGGAGTCAAAGGCTGGGTCGGAGGTCAGAGGAGAGTAGGTCGCGGGTGAAAGAAACAATGGGGGGGGAATCCTTGCTGCTGAAAACAGCGCTCCATGTCCCTCTGCCCACTCCAGCTTAGCTCAGCACTTATGACAGCGAGCAGCTAGAGACGGAGAGACGTCCACAGGCCGTCCTCAGCCTCGGACGGGAGCTGCTGACCGGGCTTTGATTGACACCTTCAGAGGGAGAAAGAGCACTATTGATCCTGACAGTTGGATGAAGCATGTCAGTGAATGTGTGTGCGCTTGCTGATGCCATGTGTTGTGGGTCTGAGTCACAGATCAGGATTGCATCATCCCGCCGGGGTGCAGGAGTTGATTTATCGACTCTGACATTGTCACATGTAGACCTCGCCGAGCCACGGAAACTTCTGACAGCTGTGGTGAAGGTGTGTTTGTTTCTTTGAAGTTAATTTAAAGCATTTCATAAAGCAATAACTCGGTGTAGAAACCCTAGACAGACATCTAATAATAATACTAATAATGATAATGATTGATTGGCTGTGATATCAGGCTTCGTCTCTGTAAGAATGATTGTAAAACATGTTGAACTTTGTCATTTGCTGGTATCAGCAAGCGTTAAATTAGCGTTTTGTCAATGCGTATGCCCGGCAGCCCTCTGTGATTGTGTAGAATTAATTCAATTGTATTGATGCATGTCTGCTAAAACAACATGAAGCCCTATCGAGAACCTCTCGTCCATTGATCCCTTATGTAACGGTTTGTTTGCTTGCGGATGTCTTTGTATTCTTCAGTGTGGCTATACATGTGCATCCTATTTGATGTCCTCCATGAATAATGAATCCTACTGTACACACTATCTGTCAACACTCCT